TGTCACCGACTATATTCCCGAGTCCACACCGAGCAGCCTAACCCTTATTTAGAAAATGCATAATTGTTTGATATTTGATAACCTTTAAAAAAATCAAAAATCAAAAAATCAAAAAATAAAAAAATCAAAGGGATAGCAGTGGCAATGGGATTAAGTGGAATCAACAACCAATGAAATATAGCCCATATGGTGAGCTGTTAGGCTTTATATCTACGTGAATTGAAATTGTTGGGGGTGGCCAAGCACCGGCCTGCCCTATTGGCTCCGCGTAAAGGTTGAATATTATTGGATAAGTGTACCTTGCAACATCGTCAGCAAGTTTTTGCACAATTCATATTTGATAAGTAGCCTCATTATGTTTGTCACGGAAAAGTAACCACTCCTAATTAAGTCCTAAGTCATTTTCACTTTCACATTCTCTTGCTTTTCATCCATTCTTTATCATTCACCATTAAAGTCTTACTGGATAAACCTTCACCAACGCGTAGCCAAACCATAAACCGTTCAATGTTTATCCAAATATGGATTTATTCAAACTTCTTGTTCCAACATTTACATATGCAAAACCTTTATAAGGTTATCCACACTTGATCAAACGCAACTTACCTTTTTCTAATTAAGCTAATGCTTGAGCCATGTCATTAACACTCAAGAATCTTAATTTAGAACCCTATATAACCATATATCCGAACCTTCCATCACTGCTGTCAAGTCTCAAGTACGTTAAGTTATCATGATCCATATATGCGAGTTAACAGACACGTGACAAACAAGAGGTGACTCGCCACCATTCCAACTTGCGGCAGTATCCACATTAATTAATTTTGCTCAACGCCCTTGGTGGTGACACTGTCTTATTAAATATAAATATAAGTTTGATTTATTTAAATCAAAACGTCATGAAAAGCTATAAAAAAGCAGATTCGCAAATAATATGTACGGGCTATAATTTTCCAACACTTTATGTTTACACAATTTTTGAAAGTAAGTTACATTCAAACATTGCCAACACGAGCTGACTTGTCAGCTTAATCTCAAAGTTGAATATAGTTTTTCAAAGAGTTGAAAATTGGTGTATGAAGTCATTGGCTTGATATCTTTTGCCAAGAAAGGAATGTCGTGGTGAGAAAAAGAACATGTCATCCTTGTAGTTTATATTTACTTTTTTCATATATATATATATATATATATATATATATATATATATATATATATATATATATATATATATATATATATATATATATATATAGGCTTAGGTTATTATATTCAAAGTAATTATTGTGTTATTGTATGCATAAATGTGGGTCAATCATTTTACTTATTTTAAGAAAGTGATTAATACATATTATTGAATTAAATATAATTGAAAAATACCATCTAATTTAACTAAAAGGGTATTTTAGTCAATTAATATATATTTAATAAAGGAAATTTGCATATTCTAAGGGATCGTAGATTCTATTAATTTTAAAAATCTGATTTTACGAATTATAAGGTTTTTAATTCGGACATTCTGACAGAATATGTTTGAGTATGTTCAAAAATAAAAATATTTTTGAACCATTAAATAATAAAAATATTCTTGAACATATTTCTTGATCATGACTTTAAAAATTTCTTGTAGAATAACAAAATTCTCGAACCATCAATTAAAGAATTAAAACAAAAATTACATTAATTCTTATAGAATACATGTAACAATTGCTAAGAATTACATTTATTGTTAAAGAATAAAACTAAAAAAACTTTCAAATCTGGAAAAAAAATCAAAATCTAACAAATGCACTAATATATTCTAAAAGAATAATGTTGCTAAGAGGCGTCGTTCAAATTTCGTGGTCCATTCTTCAAGCATCAGCTTCTGTAGAAACAAATCCAATGAATAAATTAGTGAAAAAATATTCATATTCCATTCCAACATAATTGTAATTCGTGATTCCATTCTGATAGAATTGGAATTCATTTACCAATATTATATTAATTCGGGGAATTCTAACAGAATATGTTCATGATTAATCATAAAAAACATTCTTTTCTGATAGAATACTATGAACGAATAAATACCATTCAGTTGAAGCATTTTAGCAAGCGCTTGGTGTGCATCAAAACAACTTTCAATTTCTTGTAAAAATTAGACAATCAGAACAAATTCTCAATTCACCAAAAATATTACACCTTGAAAGAATTAGACAATAAACCTAAACACATCCAAAATTTCTTTGATTTCTGTCAAACAATCAGCCCAGAACATCCATTCTATATATTGAAATCAAATCAAATTAAAAAAACCATTTGAAGATTAAACTTCATTGGTTTACAGTAAATCAATCTAAAATACATCTGCAAACAAGAACACGTTTGTGTTTCCTTTCCTTTCCTGTAAAACACCCAATCCAAACACCCATTGGTTTCTATCAAATGAAACAAACCCAAACACCCCAATGATTTCTATCTAACAGTTAAACAAAAAGAAAAGGGAAGAGAACCTGTTACTGATCGGATCAACACCCTTCACAACCCCTCTTCTTCTTCCGTCGAGCAAAACACCCTTCACAACCCCTTTTCTTCTTCCGTCGAGCAAACCCACCGAGGACCCCGACTTCTTCACTTCTGCTGATCGCGACACCCCACCATTTTCCTTCGTCCCTTCAACTTCGTCAAACCACGGAGACGACCTCCCTTGTCGCCGATTGAAATCGCTGCTCCTATATTCGCACCTCTGATTCGGAGGAGAAAGAGCGAAATCTCGATGCCTCGTGCCTTCCTTCCTTTGGTTCGGCCAAAAACTGGAGATGGTCACTTAGTTCGATCGATGGTGGTGGTGGCGATCTTCTGTTTTGGAGCTAGGGTTAGGGAGGATCGAATGGGATAGAATACAGTATTGTTGATTGTTTTAAAAAGGGATAAAGGTAGGTCAAACTAATTACCATAATTATAGGAGTGTATTTGTAGAAATTATATATCAAATTACTAAATTACCCTTATTTATTTGTTTGATTATTTATTTATTTTTTAAATTTTGATTGGCCCACATTTATGCATACAATAACACAATAATTACTTTAAACACCTGAAATGAACATGAACCTATATATATATATATATATATATATATATATATATATATATATATATATATATATATATGTTCATTTGAGATCATGCTAATTTTGTGAGACCGTGAGACCAAATCTAAAAATAATTTTAAAATGCAAACTAAAAGGAAAAATCCGAAAAGAAGATGAAACATAATTAAACATTTGGCTAATTTGGTGATATATATATATATATATATATATATATTATATATATATATATATATATATATATATATATATATATATATATAGAGGTGGGTTCAATTGAGAAAATAAAAAAGGTTGAGAATGGGGGAATCATTCTCAGCCACTCAACCTTCAATCTCAAATACGTAACTGTATAGAAATAGATAACAGTTCAAACTCATTTCTAATCGATCGTTCATCATCCAAATTTCTCCTCCAACCTTCAACAATCATCCAGATTTCTTCAATTAAACCATCATCAACATCACCAGTGTTAATCAATTATCGATCTTCATCAATAACATGTTTATCAACACGATTCAACAGTTAACAACAAAAATTCGTTTTTGGTTCTTTTAATCCAACCTTCAATTCTGCTTGAATACGATCAGATCTTCAACATCTACGATTAATTATACTCCCAGCGTCATTAGATCAACATCATCGATAATCAACAAAAAATCCACTTCATATCATTCATTCAACATCGATTATCAAATAAAACTTCAAAATTGAGGTTAGAAAAAGATCAAATCGTTTTTTTTTTTTGAAAAATTTCATATAATTCTCTATCAATCTACTATTTTGTAAGATTTAAATAGTCAAAGTATCATGTTTTTAACATTTTTAAAAAAGTTAAATTGTATGCACTCCAACTGTTTGATGAAATGCATAAACTAAATTATCACGTTATATTCATATATGAATATGTTTTCTCACCTGAATCAGTATATGATTATTAAAACAAAAAAACAAATATGCAAGTCTGTATGTTATTCATATGTGAATAACATATGAAAATTATATATATTTGTGAAAATACATTGTAATATTCATAAGTGAATATATCATCTAATATTCACAAGTGAATATACTATGTAATATTCACATGTGATATACCATGTAATACTATGTAATATTCAGATATGAAAATATTATCTAATATTCATAAGTGAATATAGCATCTAATATTCACAAGTGAATATACTATGTAATATTCACAAGTGAATGCATCGTTTAATATTTAAATATGAATATATATATATATACTATGTTTATTATATGCTATATTCATATATAAATGATACTTAAATTGTAAAAAAAATAATCACAGTTTTTATTTATAAGTGAATAACGAATGTACTGTAGTAAAAACTTGATTCATTTTTATTCACTTATGAATAACGATAGCTGAAAATATAAAAAAAATAAATTTTTTATTTTATCTTAAAACTATATCAATATGAATGTCTATTTGTAGAGAATAAAAAATCATGAATTTTGGTATATTTAAAATCATTTTTCGATAAAAATAGCTTCTTAAAAATTAAAAAAACGAAAAAACTATGTTTTTGTATATATTAAGGTAATGCTTAGCATAGTTTAAGGAAACATGTTTTGTTGGAAAACACATGTCTATTTCTTTCCCATTTCCGTTGATACGACGGAGGCTTTTGCTGCAAAAATAAATGAGTGGCTGAGAATGATTCCCCCATTCTCAACCTTTTTTTTTCTCAATTGAACCCTCCTATATATATATATATATATATATATATAACATTTGGAAAACAAGATGAAACATAATTAAACATTGAAATATATAAGCAAATTAAGATTTGGGTCAAAGTAAAAGAAATTTAACCTTATCTGGATGCGGATAAAGACCTTCTCTCTATAAATACTTATTTAGTTCTTCAATTTCTCCATCCATCTCTTTCTCTCTCTCTTCCTCCGACACTAGCAAGTATTTTCACTTATTTTGAGTCCAACCCTTCGAATCGATAACCATCCCCTTTTGTTTTTTTTTTTTTCATATATATTCTTAATTTGGTGGAGAAAGTGAAAGGCACGAGTTCATATGTTCATATTCTAAGATTCAAAATCTTGTTTCTATATGATGAGGTCCTTCAATAGATATTTACGGGTTTTGCCATTATTATTATGGTATTTGTCAATGTTGAACATTAATCTCAATGGAAGAGGAGTTATGGCCTTCCACAAGGTTCACCTCAACTATAGAATTGATAATGTCGTGGACGTTAAGAACGTTTATAGAACTGGCTATCACTTTCAACCAAAAAAAAATTGGATCAACGGTATGTCTCTTTTTCATTTGCACGTAATTGTTTCGTACTATTTATGAATGATCGTCCGTCGTTTATTTGTAGTATTTCTCACATGCATACGTACGTACATACATACATACATACATACATAAACTGTGTTTTATTGCTTCTTTTTCTTCCAAAATTGCTTTTGGTTTCGAAACTTCACAAAGCTGTCGCTTTGAAACTTGCAAGGCTTGGGTCAATTACGAGGTTAAATTAATTATTTGATAATTAAAAATATTTTATGGTTTCATGAGAAAAACATTGTGCATTCACATTTTAATTATATGCGAGGTTCAGGAGTCAGGAGAGCTATTTGACCGAAAGAGCCTGCCTTCTTTGAATATTAATAACAGTATATCTTAATATAGTATAGAATTATATTTATTATTATTATTGTAAAAGTTAATGTTGTATTAAATCAACTTTTGTTATGGATGTTTTGTGATTATAATATATTTCATGTATAATTTGTATATGGTTTTTTCTCTCCCGTAACAAAAAAAAAAAAAAAAAAAAAAAACTAATTAATGTTTTTTTTTTAGTTAAATACATGAAAAGGATAGCTTTTTTTTGGCTAATTTGGTGATATAGATATATATATATATATATATATATATATATATATATAATATATTATATATATATATATATATATATATATATATATATATATTGAGTGATTAATGAAGTGCATTTCTGAAAAGAATTTTATAAAAGAAGTAATATATTTTCCTTGTGATTTGCACTTCATTTCTGGTCCATCTTGGTACCTCATATTTCATTAGATCCGTGATGGTGATTAATAGTCATTAATTCTCACGAAGATTTTTTTTTTTTATTTATTTATTGAAATAGGGTTTTATGAAAATAATATAAAAATAAATTCATATTTTCTTATGATGAATAAGCATAGTTAATAACTAAAGTAAAATTATAATTTAATTTAATCTATTTATAAATAAAAAAATTAGATCGTCACTAACCCTAAATATATTATATATGTAACTTGTGACATTATAGGGTCAATATTTGATTCTGCCATTGATTGTCTATTTTATTAAAAGATCTTACAGCTTACATTATTAACTATAAATCGTAGAGGCTGTCACATTGTTGCCGCTGTCCCAAAAGACTGGTATAAGTCAATGCTCTTTAGATTTATTCGATAATAAAACAAATACTCTTTGATTAATTATTAAAATACATTAGTTTATAATATAACACTCTGAAATTTGTGATTGATACTCTTACTAATGAACAACTAGGTATTAAAATAGTTTCAATTTCTGTTTTATATGTGATTAAATTAATCATGTTTCATTTTCCATGCATGATACCGATGCGGGGCGAAATTATATCAAATTGAACACAGATCCAAACGGTAAGCTTATTTTTAATGTAAATAATTTATATACACATGATAAGATGATTTTTATTAGTTAACTTTAATTAATTTATTATTTTTAATTTTTGCATATGTGCAGCACCCATGTATTACAAGGGATTCTACCATTTGTTCTACCAATACAATCCAAAAGGAGCCGTGTGGGGCAATATCGTGTGGGCCCACTCGGTGTCAACCGATTTAATCAACTGGATCCCGTTGGAGCCGGCAATCGTACCATCGAAACCATTCGATAAATATGGATGTTGGTCTGGATCTGCCACAATCCTACCAGGCGATAAACCAATAATCTTATATACAGGTATAATAAACAAGAAACCAGAACCAGGTCATCAAGTCCAAAACTATGCCATTCCCGCCAATTATTCGGATCCTTACCTAAGAAAATGGATCAAACCCGACAACAACCCGATCATCAAACCAACACACGAAAACGTTTCGTCTTTTCGTGACCCCACAACAGCGTGGTTCAACAATGGTCATTGGAAAGTAGTCATTGGTAGTAAGAACAACCATCGAGGCATTACCTATTTGTATAGAAGCCGAGATTTTATTAAGTGGACAAAAGCCAAACATCCATTTCACACGAAGAGTGACACTGGTATGTGGGAATGCCCAGATTTTTTCCCAGTATCATCTCAAGGAACAAATGGGTTGGATACGTCAGCATTAGGTAACGATGTTAAGTATGTTTTTAAGGTTAGCCTTGACATGACTAGGTTTGATTATTACACGATTGGAACATACAATGTCATTAAAGACAAATATGTCCCTGATAACACGTCAGTTGATGGGTGGGCCGGGTTGAGATATGATTATGGGAACTTTTATGCTTCCAAGACGTTTTTTGACCCGATTAAGAAAAGGAGGATTTTGTTGGGTTGGGCTAACGAATCAAGCACTACCAATGAAGATATCGCTAAAGGATGGGCTGGAATTCATGTAATTTTATCGTATTTTATATAGTGACTTGATTTTTTTTTTTTTAATTATTAAACTTACTTTGATTTTTATGTTTTTTTTTATAGTTGATTCCACGTAAGCTTTGGTTGGACCCAAGTGGACATAAATTGTTACAATGGCCAATTCGTGAATTGGATAAACTAAGGGGTAAAATGGTAGAATTGAGAAACGTAAAAGTCAACAAAGGTGATACCATTGAAGTCAAAGGGATTACATCGGCTCAGGTTTGTATTCCTTGAAGTAATTATAGCAAGTTGAATATATGATGATGATGTTTGATTATTAAACTAATGTGATATAAATTTATAAATACAGGCGGATGTAGACGTGACATTTACATTTTCAAGTTTGGATAAAGCTGAATTATATGATAAAAAATGGGAGAAATTCCCAGTGGAAAATCTTGCTAAAAGTATTTGTGGGATAAAGGGGTCAAACGTTCAAGGTGGGCTTGGGCCATTTGGGCTTCTTACTCTAGCTTCAAGCAAGCTAGAAGAGTACACTCCTATATTCTTTAGAATTTTCAAGACCATTGACAATAAACATAAAGTTCTCTTATGTTCTGATGCCACTCCGTAAGTCCTCTTTCTAAAAAAAACAAATTAAATTAAGGGATTACAAATGTTATTAGTGAAGTGGACTAACATTGGTTTTGTTTTCAATAAAAACAGTTCCTCATTGAATCCAAATGAATACAAGCCATCGTTTGGGGGCTTTGTGGATGTCAATTTAGCCGAGAAGAAGCTTTCACTTAGGAGTCTAATTGATCATTCGGTCATAGAAAGCTTTGCAGAAGGAGGGATGACAGTTATCTCATCTAGGGTTTATCCGACACTGGCAGTTGCTGAGAATGCACATTTACATGTATTTAACAACGGTTCTGAAATCATAACAATTGAGAGACTAAATGCATGGTCCATGAAGACGGCTCGTATCAATTAAATTCTGTCAATTCATGTCATGTTTTAAAAAGGGTTGGGAATAATTCAAGGATCGGTATTATGCCATTTATATGTTAAAAAAGAGGGATTGTATTTATCGATTCATAAATATTACATTAATATATCTAATGACATTGAGTTCCATATCACCACCATTATTGTTGCATTCCAAACGTGAAATAAAAGTAAGATAAACAAGGATATGAAATGAAAAATTGTCACAACTCACAACTTATAAGGATTTTGTCAAAATACTTTTATTTTATATATATTTATAATTCAAAATACGTTTTTGCATTACAACTAATGGACTGAATTTATAACTACTTCATACTGTCCTCAAAATTCGTTCAATGATAACCAAAGAACCATATAAGTTTGTCATTGTTTGAAATGAAAATCGCTAAATATTAGGATTTTGTCATTTATAAGTACTATTTTCTCTAAAATATATGACCATTTCATGTCCACTTGTAGTAGGAATATTTCGAAATCTTGACCTAAAAGACTTGCATGTTTCTCTCAGATTATACACGTTTGTTTGAATGACATTGTATTTTATGGTATTAAAATTCACATATATATGCCAAAAATATATTTATAATAATATATCTTTTTTAAGATCAAGACAACTCAATATAAAATATTAATTATAATCCTTATTTCATAAGTTTATTATTTATTAAAATAATTAAAATTGGAAAATAATTAAAAATGAAAATAGAACAGCAAAATAAGTTTCACTCTAACGAATTTAGCGAAAGATCAGATACGGAAATGTGTATCTATGAAAAACTTCATCTTTGTGTATAAATTCTTCCTAAATCTTAATTTTGCTTTCCACCAACTCTTGTTCGTTTCTTACACTTACATGCATTACAATATTGTATCATCTTCTTTCGTCAATTCCACAACGTAATATGCAGGGTTTCAGTAGGTTTTCATGGGGTTTGTCATTGTTGATATGTCTTCTACCAACGTTCAACAACTTAGGCGGAAGAGATGGAGGAGTCATAGCCTTCCACACGCATGATCATCATAATCATCATCATAATCATCACCATAATCATCATCATAAACACACTCATACTCATGACACTGTTAAGGTAAAAGAGACATACAGAACTGGGTATCATTTCCAACCCAAGAAAAATTGGATGAATGGTATGTACATCTTCTTCTTCTCCTCCACATGCATTGCATCCACAGTTAGTTTTATGTGCATTTGAATTAATTATGACATTCTTTTTCTTGTATGAAATCGATGGGGACACAACTTTTATGAAACCAACATAGATCCCAATGGTAAGTTCTCTCTTTAATTAGAATTTTGTTTGTTCTTTTTATGTAATTGAGTTCAATATTTGATACAATGGTTTATACTTTATATGAACAGCACCCATGTACTACAAAGGACTCTATCATTTGTTCTACCAATACAATCCTAAAGGTGCTGTGTGGGGTAACATTGTGTGGGCCCATTCAGTATCAAAAGATATGGTCAACTGGATTCATCTTGAACACGCAATCGTTCCATCGAAACCATTTGACAAATACGGATGTTGGTCAGGATCCGCTACAATCTTGCCAGGTAATAAACCTGTCATCTTCTACACAGGAATAGTTGACCCAAAACCTGCACCGGGTCACCAAGTCCAAGTGTATGCCATACCCGCAAACTATTCGGATCCATACCTACGAAAATGGATCAAACCAGCTGACAACCCTTTCCTCAAACCAACAAGTGAGAACATTTCAGCTTGGCGTGACCCCACAACTGCATGGTTCAACAACGGTCATTGGAAGATTATCATTGGTAGTAGACACAAGCATCGAGGCATTGCTTATTTGTATAGAAGTCGCGATTTTGTTACATGGGTCAAAGCCAAACACCCGTTTCACTCTAAAACGGATACGGGTATGTGGGAATGTCCTGACTTTTATCCGGTGTCATCTCAAGGAACAAATGGACTGGATACTTCAGCTTTGGGTAAAAATGTGAAATATGTGTTTAAGAATAGCCTTGAAGTGACTAGGTGTGAATACTACACCATTGGTAGATACGACCTTGATATGGATAGATATATTCCAGATAACACATCTATTGATGGGTGGGCCGGGTTGAGATATGATTATGGAAATTTTTATGCCTCTAAGTCGTTTTATGATCCGAGCAAGAAAAGGAGGATTGTATGGGGTTGGGCTAATGAGTCGAGCACTAGCACTGAAGATATAACGAAAGGATGGGCTGGAATTCAGGTGATTTAATTTATTGTGTATTTATTTATGTGAATGTGAGTATGTGACATAATCTCTTTTGACTTTATAATAACTTGATTTAATATATACTTCATGTAGTTAATTCCACGAAAGGTTTGGTTGGATGAGAGTGGACATAGTTTGCTACAATGGCCAATCAAGGAATTGGAAAAACTGAGGCATCAAAAGGTAGAGATGAGAAACGTGAAAGTTCACAAAGGTGATACCATTGAAGTCGAAGGAATCACTGCAATCCAGGTTTGTATTTTCTTATAGTTATAACAATTGTAGATCAACATATTAAACATATGATTGGATATGTTTTATGTATTGATTGTGATATAAAAACAGGCGGATGTGGATGTTACTTTTACGTTTAAGAATTTGGAAAAGGCTGAGATGTACGATGAAAAATGGAGGAAATTTCCACAACATGATCTTGGTAAAAGTATTTGTGGGGTTAGAGGTGCGATTGTACATGGTGGGGTTGGGCCATTTGGCTTAATGACACTAGCTTCAGAAAACCTTGAAGAGTACACTCCTGTATTCTTTAGAATCTTCAAAACTAAAGACAAAAAGTATAAAGCTCTCATGTGCTCTGATGCTACAACGTAAGCTTCCCTTCTCCTTTCTCTCTATTATTAATTATTAGAGAAAAGATATATACCACATATATATTATCTAGTTTTGTGGATTAACATAAGTTTTAATATGTTTTGTGAAAAAATATATATATATATATATATATATATATATATATATATATAGTTCCTCGTTGAATGAGAAGGAGTACAAGCCATCATTTGGAGGCTTTGTGGATGTTGACTTAACCAAAAAGAAGCTTTCTCTTAGAAGTTTGATTGATCATTCAGTCGTGGAAAGCTTTGCAGAGGGAGGAAAAACAGTGATCACATCAAGAGTTTATCCGATGATAGCGACTTCATGTAATACACGTTTGTATGTATTTAATAATGGGCATGAGACTATCACAGTGGAAAAACTGCATGCTTGGTCTATGAAGACGGCTCACATTAAATAGAATTTTACCTATTTTTAGGATAGTTGGTAATAAAAAATGGAAGGTAGTTATTATTGTTTTGTTTTTACTTTTATTAGTATGGTACTAGTTTAATTATATTTTATATTAAATTATTGAGGACCTTAGTTTCAGTTGTTTATGCCGATGACAAGTAGAATGAAGATTGGGGAAATCCTTTTGTATAAATATATAGTATTTTTTTGAATGTGCATTTTTATTAAGAGACTAGCTAGCAAGTTGCTAGTTTGAAAAAAAAAAAAATATATTATTAAGAAATGGATAAAGTTGTGTCGTTCAAAATAAATAAACGTAAATTGTACCTTGAACACGTATATAAACACCATGAGGATATAGATGTGTCTTTGGCCATGTTTGGAGGGGCTCGATGAAGATGGCCATCTTCGTTTTTTTTTTAAATGCAGTCATCAGTTGTTTGGAAGTGGTCTCCCATATTGCCTTCCATGGATACCCGTGACACCTTCAAAACATAAATTTTACCTCAAAAATAATAAATGACAACTAAGGTGTTGTTTGTTGTTTCGAAGTCACAAGGTCTGCAGTCTGCGGACCACATTTGCAACAGAGAAGATGTGAATCAAACGTCTGCAGTCTGTAATAAGAAGTTTGTTTGTTTTTTAATGTCTGCAGGCTGAAAAAACATACCAAAACATAATTTGATTTCTGATTACCAAATAAACATATCAAATCATAATCTGATTTCTGATTACCAAAGCTTTAAAATTCTGATTTTTGATTTCTTAACTCATTACCAATGCAAAAAAATTCTGATTTTTGATATCTTAAGTCATTATCAGCAATGATAATCTGATTTTTAGCATAAACAAACAATCATCCAACTTTAAACAAACATCAAACATCCCATAACATAATTTGATTTTGAAAAAAAAAACAGATCTTGAAACATCCCAGAATAATCAAATTAGCATAAACAAACATGAAAAAAAAATCATCCACCAAACATCCCATCAAGAAAAAAAAATTGATATTCTAGAAATCAGATTTCATATGCATTTCTTCAAAAATCAGAAACACAATTGATTTCAAATCAGATGGGGAAAAGGAGAAGGAAAGCGTTACGTGAAAGGAGAAGGATAAGGAGAGGGAAAATCGGTCAAACAGGAGGAAGACGTCGTGTGGAGAAGGGAGGAATTGCATTCGTAGATGGTTGTTGAGGTCGGAGCTTCTGATGCATCCGGTGGTCGGTGCGTCTGGTAGACGGTGATTCTGGTGGTCAGTCGGAAGGAGGACGACGACCGATGGAGGACGACTGGTGGAGGAACGATCGATGATGAGGAGAGGTATCGAGGCGTTGAGAGAAAAGAGTTACATGTTTTTTTTTGTTAGGTTTAAATGAGATGTGAAGACCTTAGTCCATGTTTGTATCAAGAAGACCACACGCAAACGTTTTTAAGTTTGTGCACTTCCAAAAAAATCAGTCTGTAAGGGCATATGTATGTGCGTTGTTTGCATGGCATAGAAGTGGTTTCCTCAGATCTGCAGACAAAAAGTAAAAAGAATTTAAAATGTTAAATGATATGATACATGTTGAAGTTGTCACTTTCAGATACTAGGGTCTAGGGCAAAGATCTCATGTGTTACAGACTAAAAGCACACCCACTGAATCCCTTCCCCAACAGATATACAGGGTAGACTCTCATCGCATCCCGATAACCGGTTAATTAAGTTTTTGAAAGAATGATAAAAAAAATTTCACCTAAATCAAACAAAACCCTCCCACCCAAAATATAGCTCATATAGTCACCTACCACATACTATCGTATATAGGAATGTGGATGTATACACACCTCCTTACATAAGTGGTATACATAACTATCGACTTATTGAGTCCCCATCCTGGGATATCAAGCCATCGGTCGAAAACACATGTCACTTAAAAGAAGAAGCTCATGCATCTATTTTTAACTCATTAATACCTAATTGGGAAAAATAAACATACTATATTGTAAACCTATTAAAGCAAATCTATTTCAATTCCCACATATTCATCAGATTTCGGTGAGCATTTTACGTTTTGGACATTGATTACAAACAAGGTACCACCTAATTGCAAAAGTACCCAAAACAAATGCCAGCCTAAATCATTGAAAAACAAAAACTAGGCAACACAAACTCATGTCGTTTCAAACTAATTCTTCATATTTTTCTGAAATTTTATATTTCATACAAGGTTTTCCATACTTTAAACAACATAAAAGATAACAAAAAAAAAACGACATGAAATTTAAAACCAGCTAACATGGTACCATTGAATTTCTGGCAAGAGAGAACCATTTAATTCTGAATGGTACTAAACAGATAGCAAACATATTGATAATAAAAATCCATGACCAAAAATGTGAATGCACATCCAGATTACACCACACTACAAATGTCTTTAGAGATCTAAAGTATTAAAACAACTCCACTAAGCAACAAAGCCTTTGGTTTTACTTCTTACAATAGTTTAGAAACAGAATAACTAGAAATGATGCAGAAACTTCCAAACCAAACACATAGAACAACTGGGCTAGCGCCTACTTGATCTTCTTCTTTGGCCTCAACTGCAACACACAAAAAGAATTTCTCAATTTAAAAAAAAAAATCATGAATTGTAAACAGAAGAAACATTTAAAAATGCAAGACTTGCAGATAAAAACAAAGTGCAAGCAATAAAAACCTGGTTGCTGTGGCCACACTTCTTCTTCCTGCAGTTTACTGCCCTTGGGTGCAAACGTGCATAGCACCTGCAAACAAGCAATTTTTGTTAAAATATGGAAGGAATTTAAACAAATTTGTTATTGGTTAACTTATATAATGTGATTAAAACCCTTTAAGAATAGACAAAAGCATCATAATGATTCATGACAACCTTTGGATAGAAAGAGGAATACAGAAAAAAAAAAAAAAGGAACTCACTTGCGGCAAATGGTCTTGTCTTGGTTGTATTTCCTAGCCAAAGCCATCAAAGAGGGCTCAATGATTCCTCCTCTTAGCCTCAACACCAAATGAAGAGTTGACTCTGAATCAGAATTAAATATATAGCATAATCAGCAATTCAGTATCATAATCAGATTAACAGCCTCATACTGTAAAATTAGAGTAACTATTGCAAAATTGATTCCAAATGACTGTCGATCTTAATCAGCAAGAGTTCTAAAGGATCGTGTATGCCATAACTTACGAATCGCATCAGGGATTCTTAGAATCAGGTTGCAAATCAAACAATAACAATAATAAAACGTGATAAAACGAACCTTTCTGGATGTTATAGTCAGCGAGAGTTCTGCCATCTTCAAGCTGCTTTCCGGCAAAGATCAATCGCTGCTGATCCGGTGGAATACCTATAATTTCAAAAGGTTCAAACACAATCGTGTCAAAGTGAAAGAAAATATTTCAATTCCATAATAACATAAAAAAGAATAGAACTACGTACCTTCCTTGTCTTGAATTTTAGCCTTGACATTGTCAATGGTGTCACTGCTCTCAACCTCGAGAGTAATGGTCTTCCCGGTTAGGGTTTTGACGAAAATCTGCATCTTTCCGTTTCTCTATCTCTTTCCACTTTGCCGAGGCTGATAAATGTTTGTTATGAGGATTTTATACTCTGGTTTGTAATTAGGGTTTGGAGTTGTACCTTTTTGTCCATGAAAGTTTCAAGCCCATCTTTTTCAATTCTTGGGCTTATCCTACTCTTGAGTCTTTGAAGTGTATATGGACTATGAATCTATGATTGTGAAACATATTTAACATATTTTCATAATATTATGATTTTATCTAACAAGGATTTTTTATAATCATGTAATAAAATACATTTATGATTAAATATAATATTTACGTAAATTTATAAAAGAAGTATTAGTTTGTTGTATCATATAAGAAATTTATATATTTAAATGTTTTTATTCATCAAGTTAGTTAAGAGATTCAACATTTGATTTTGGTGTATAAAAATTCATGTTAGGCATGTCATAGTTATTATTATTTATTATTATTTTTTTTGAGCTCTTTTTAGATTGTTATGGTTGGTAAATCAGAAAATAAGTTATAAGATGTAGGCTTTTCAACGAACTTATGAAACTTTTTAACAATTGTTGCAAATAAATCTTTATCTTTTTATTATAAACCAAGAAAAGGTATCCTGTGATTTACAACACATACTAAAGTATACATTATATCTAATGACTTATAGATGTGATTTTCAACATTGTTCAATAACACGATATAACAAATGGAAGAATCAAACGATCATTCAAGATTTAGCCATAAATCATAATAACATTCAAAGAGATGCCATTAGATAAAAAAAATAAATAAGTAAATAGTCATGATAACATTGTAAATATGATATAGGATTACACAATGAACTTTTATTTAATTTAATGAAGTATATTATGTATTTTGTCTTATTATACCGAATGCTTTTTCTACATGCATTTTATGTCATTTTATGTTTTTTGCTATTTTTACAAAACGTTATTTTTTTAACTAGATTATCAGCCATCAATTATCTTTCTTGCGATCAACTAGTTTTTCAGCAAACTAATTTTTTTAGTTG